AATCTGTCCGCATAAAATGCCGAGACTGACTTATTGCCTATGCGCAGGACCCTTGCGGTTGTTCGGGCTGGGTCAGCAAACCAAGACTGACCCGCTACGACGGGACCCAACCTAGAGAGACCCTTTTCAATGGATTCGGTGTCTCTTAGGTGGTAGCTGATAAAGACGTTCTGCATTCTCCAGAAGCCTGCCCTCCATGTGTGCTCGAGGGGGGCGCCTGACACTAGCACTAGCGAGTTAGCAATCACACATACCTCATGTACTCGGTGTCTCTGCAAGCTCTGTGTCGAGGAAGCCAACATTTGACATCCGGAGGATGACGATCGGGTGAGGATCATGTCCTGGGATTTGGTTCTAGGCGAGAAACCCGATTCGTGTCTTTTGCACAACTTGATTGTCCATAACGGCGGTACATCCGAGAAGGACAATGCCCCCAGTTATGGCCGACCTACCTGAGGCGAGGGCCAGTAGGAAGACGTCAAAAAATTTAGTGGTGCTGATCGGAGAGGCTCAAAGGGCAGTCTGCTTAGAGCAAACAACACAGCCGACAAGGCCCAGTTGGGCGGTTCCCTTGTATGGGGTCTCAGCGTCTGGAAAGCAGTAAATAGTCTTCTAATAATAGGACAATCGGCTAGTCTTGTTCCTGTATGTTTGAATGGTGGGGGACAAGACTGACCTGTAGCCAACGGTCGCTGCGTAGGACAAACCCACAGATGCTACCTGGCCAATAGAGGGATGATATGGTTCAATCTCCCTTCCGCTACACCAACCAGTGTATGCTCACAACCTAGAAATGTAGGCCACGTTGGTGGGATCCCTGTTCGCCCTGGCCAGGACGTTGGCAGCCCGCTCAGATAAGGCTTTTGTGCGTGCGGGTCTACTGAGAGCCTCTATGCGTGTAAATGATACCTGCTGGGCTCATTGGTAGTGTGCCGTCTGGTTGGGATGGCAGGTCTGGTAAGTCTGGAAGCACTGCTGGTGTTTCGACTATCCTCTCCGACAGAAGTGGAAACTAGGCCTTGCTTGGCCAATTGGGTGCGACCAATGATAATATGCAGGTGTGCACCTGCCGAAGTTTTCTCTGGTGCCCGCTGAACTAGCAGAAAGGGAGGAAAGGTGTACACAACTAAGTTGGGCCGCGGGGTAGCAAAGCGACCCTGGCCCAGGCTCCTGGAGTCAGCAGGAGTGTTACATACGTCGGGAACTTGGTGTTCCGGGTGCAGCAAACCGGTCTAACCTTGGACTGTCCACAGCCAAACAGTCTGGAGGCTACCCACTGGGGTATCAGCCACTCAGTGTTCCTCACCCCTGGAAGGTGGTGTGCGGTTAGCTCCACATTGTATTCCAGGCACCAAAGGAGGATTTGCTCCGCTAGGACTGACAACGATGGGGTATGCGTCCCTCCCTCCTTCTTGAAGGAGACCACCGCTGCGTTGCCTTGCAGAGCAGGACTCTGTGGTCTCGAACTATGAGTAGAAAGCATGGTAGTGCTAAGTACACTGCTCTCAGTTCGAGCCGGTTGATATGGTAGTCTCGAAACTAATGCATGAGCCATATCCTTGGGCTTGTTCGTCCAATAGATGCACTCCCCAACCTTGGGGGAGGCATCTGTTACCAGAGTCATACCTGCAGCGAACGGGTCCAAGGGGACCCCCCTGCCCGAGGGCAGGGCTTCCTTCACTTGGTCCGAAATCAAAACTCGCCTATCTAGTTCCCATAGAGAGCTCAACGTTATAACAAGCCTTATACTGGGT